TGAGGGACCAGCAGTTAGCATAATGGCTATGTCGCTGGACTCCCACATAGTCGACCGCGGTTCGAGTCCCGGACCTGGTGGCTTAAACTCACACTGGGCGCCTGTGCGTGCATGCCCAAGATCCTGAGAGGAGAATGGAGGAGAAGGGATCGCGGCGTGGCCATCCCCCCGGGGGGTGATTTCTCACTTTCTGTCTCTCTGTCTCTGTCTGTCTGGCGAGCACACGTGCCCTATAGCAAAAAAACTTCTCCAAAAAAAGAAAAAAAAAGTCACTATAACAATGAGATACCACTGCATTACTTCATCAGTGCAGTAAAGATATCTTCTACAAGAAGTACTAAGATGGTTATAGGTCTCTGGAAGCATACAATATCACCTTTCTAGTGTGTTAGCAATTGCAAGAGACTTACAAATGTTCATCTCCTATGTTTCAGGAATCATATTTATAGGAATCTCTATGTTAATAATTTGACATAAAGAAATTTTCTATTACTTTTCATCAGTATTATTTTTTAATTATTATTTATTTAATTTTATTTATTCATTCAGTTATTTTAATTTGACCAGAGAGAGAGAGAGAGAAAGGGACAAAGGAAGCCGCCAGGTCCAGGGGTCGAACCATGGTCAGCCATGTGGGAGTGTCCAGCACCTTAACCACCACGCCACCTGCTGGTCCCATAATCAGTGTTATTTTTAATAGTGCAAAAAGTGGATACAATTTAGACACTCAATAACAGAGTAGTGAGCAAATTATGCTAACCATAGACTTATATTGCCATTGGATTTTGCCTTAGGGAGCATGTGTTCACTGGAGAGAGATAGACAGAGATAGTGAGAAGCAAAGTGAGACATCACCCCCGTGGAGATGGCCACACCCCAATTACTTCTACTCCATTCTCTTCCGGGGATCTTGGATATGAAACACACACCCAGTGTGAGTTTTAAGCCACTGGGTCTGGGACTGAAACCATAGCCAGCCATGTGGGAGTTCAGTGACATAACCACTATGCCATCTGTTGACCCCTTATATTGCCTTTTAAAGTGATGCTTATCGAGTTTTAATATAGATACTATGGGAGAGAACTTATGAAAGCAGCAAGTCACATCAGTTATATAGTTTAAACAGCCATTTAAAAAAAAAATATGTCATCCCCATTTTACCATCCTATCCCTTTAAAAAATTTTAAAATGAAAACAAAACAAAACAAAACTAAAAATGAGTACAGGAAAATATTAAGTTATTATTCTGAAAAATGAGATTATGGGCAATTTGTTTTCCTCCAAACATAAACGAATTAGATGCAGGAAGTTTCTTTTCAAAGATACAACTTACCAACATCATATCTAGCCAGTTCACTGGGCTCGGGAGCTTGTACCTCAAGGTTTCCAATATCATCGCTACCGAGGAAAGAGCTATCCTTAGATGACTGACTGGAAAACAGAGCATCATATAAAGCAGACTGTCCACTTTTATTGGCAAAAGATTCCACAACCTCTTTTAAAAAATCTTGCTTGCCACGACTTAAGTTTAGCAACATATGCCCTGAAAAACAAATTATTTTAATCATTTAAACAATACAGAATATATTTAATCACATCTCTCAAACTGTTTCATGTGTGTACCTGAAGAAGAAATAGCTATGACCTCAGATCTAATCCTCTAACAAGAAACGACAACGGGGCTGAACAGCAGCTCAGGTTACGTTATCTCTACCCAGGAGCAACCAACACAGGTTTCTTTCAGAGAACACGCTATTTTTTCTACTCCTTTTCCTCTCTATTGCCTTTATCTAATACAACAAGAAACAATTATGACAAATTCTATCTACATTATGAATTATCTGCTAACTTAAGTACTAGACAGAATTTTATCATAAAATGTACCCTAACAGAAAGTGTCCCTTTCCCTTTTTCAAATTTAATTAAACACTATTACCTGATTGACTCAGACGATCATAGGCCATCATTTCCAACAGATTTTGCCCAACTTCTCCTTTTATTAATTTAATCTTTGGTCTTGGAACCTGATAATTTTAGAACCAATAATCTTCAGTTATACCTATATTCTAATAGTAAGATACTCTTTTTATTACACTGTATTGTTTTGATAATGAATAAAGTTAATTCAATGGTTAAACTGAATTGGAAAAGAGCCTGCAAAAAGCAACTGAGAACCTATAAAAGCTGCATACAAAGAGCACATCTGAGAAATTACATTCTATTAGCAGTTTACAGTCAATAAATAAAGAACTTAGTTATGTTACCTTTGTATCTTATATGGACAAAGCGATAGCAGCAGGAGAAAATGTCCAGACCCAGACAGTGGTCCTTCACTAGAGATGTCCTACAAGGGACCCTATGGGTGGCTAGAGTAGCTGCCTTTAAAATCTCTATGACTTCCATCATGAGTGCTGAGAATGCAATATGCTACAACCACTAAGACTGGAATTTTGGCAACAGCTCTAAAATTGTAATTGCATAGATACCAAAAAAAAAAAAGGAAAATCAAGTTCTGATTTTAGGGCTCTAGTTTAAGCAACGTGGGCCAGCAGGTGGCATGGTGGCTGGGGTGCTAGACTCCTGCATGGCTGATTGATTTTGAGTCCTGAACACGGTGGCTGGAAGATCACACTAGATATACACCCAGGGTCCTAGGAGGAGTGCGGAGAATAAGGAATTGGAGCGTGGCCGTCCCGCCGGAGGATGACCTCACACTTTCTTTTTCTCTGGCAAGTGCATATGCCCTAGGATCAAAAATAAAGGAGAAAAAAAAAAAAAGTGCCAACATTTGGGCTGCCAGGTGGCATGGCAGTTAAGGTGCTGGCTCCCACGTACACAGCTCGAATCCTGAACCTGATGGGCTGAAAATCATGCCAGTCACAAGTGTATGCGTGCCCCAAATCCTGAGGAGACTGGAGGAAAGGGGACTACAGCATGGCCAACGCCCTGGGTGGCGAGTTTGCACTTCCCCTCTTTTCTCTCTTCCTGGAGAGCACATGATCACTATAGTATTAACTAAGAAAAAAAAAAAAAAAAGTACCAACATCCAGAGAGTGGAATATGCAAACACCAAAACTGATGAGGATGCACTTTACATGAAGATATTAAAGTATCCAAGATATATCTTTGGGAAATAAATCAGAGTAAATTCAATGTTCAAAATGTTTTCTATTTTATTAAGGAGAGAGGGAATATGTGTTATGTATATTCACTTGTATAAACATAAAGCTTTTTTTTTTTTTTTGAGAGGTTTTAGCTATAGGGCACGTGCGCTCACCAGACAGACAGAAAGTGAGAAATCACCCCCTGGGGGGATGGCCACGCCGCAATCCCTTCTCCTCCATTCTCCTTTCGTGATCTTGGGCATGCTCGCACATGCGCCCGGCATCAGTTTAAGCCACCGGGTCTGGGACTCGAACCGCAGTCGACTATGTGGGAATCCAGCGACATAGCCATTATGC